GGAAGAGTGGGACTATAGGCCGGTCCACAGGCCCCGGGGTGCTCCGCGTCGAGGTAAGCAAATAGCACATCCCAGCGGGGAGCTACGTCAGACAGAGATGACTGGCCTGCCGTCACTATGCCGGCCCTCTCCGACCGCACCCTAGAAAATGGAGGCAGCTTTGTTGTGGGCGCCCAGCCTGGTGTGATGAGCGGGGGCCAGGCGGGCGAGGAGAAATCGGGCTTCGCTCCGCAAGTGGGATTTTGCTTGGGGTGACTCACGGAGAACGCAGGGTGGGCTGTTCCGGCGTGTTTCAGATCGCCTCTGCGCAGTTCCTCCGCTGGCTCTCCCGGCCTTTGCCGTGTGGGCCGCCAATATTGTTCCCGCAGCCGGGCCTGGGCACCCCCAGGAGTCCTTCTCCGTGTCGGCTCCAAAACCTTGAACCTGCTGCCGCTTGTTTGTCGATATAGGATCGTTGTTGAAAGATTTATTCGTCCTTTGTTGCTGTTGGAAATGCAGTCAATACTCTGGTATCACAGCACACAGCTCTCAGGATCGCGCTGTTTCCTGACGCGGGCGCTCCAGACCCGCCGCCATTTTTTCTCCCCACATTCCTTTCCAGTCTTAAAATATTGATAATATCCATTGGTGGTAAGATTATGGTAAAACAGGGATTCTTCTAAACTGTTAGTTCAGTAGGAATTGGTTCAGCCATTTTGTAGGACAGTTTGGAAATGTGTATCAAAATTAGTGTGCATATTTGCTTTGCTCTAGTACCTCCTCTTTTAGAACTTTATTCTAAAGAGGTAATCTGGTAAGGATAGAAGGATATATGCTTGAAGATGTTCATGTCTTTGCTTATAATAGCAAAAGATGGTGTACATTTTAAGTTGTTCCAAGTAAGAAAATTGTTAAGTATATTATGGTGTACTCATAAAGCAAAATATTATTCAGCCTTTAACAATATAATGACATAGCTTTATAGTTTGCAATATAGAAATATATTTGTGACATCTTATTAAATGAGAAAAGCAAAGTATAAAACATTATTGAGAGAGGAGAGAGAGGGGAGCTCAGCAACAATTATCCAGAACATATAGAAGTCAAAACTTAAAGTTGAATCTTTTTATAGGCTTCTTCCTTCAAGTATATCTGGACCCGAAACTTACTGATTTGTGAGAATCCATTTCATTTCTACTGACAACGCGAGCAAGACATTCCATATAATTTTTTAAGAACCCACTTGTGCTCCTTTATATGCAAATAAGCATTGATAAATTTTGCTCGATAGGAACATACAGCTAAAGAGATTAAATACAAGTGAACAAATAAACCTGTGATGTGATCTTTACCCTAGTCAACAAAGTCTTCTTTATCTACTTGGTCATATGGTATTTCTAACTTTAATAAATCTAGTGGAAGCAACTGCATTACCCATAGAAAACAGAGCAATCAGGGTCAATGAAAAATTAGAAATGCCTTGAAACAACTTTTTCCATTTCTGTAAGCAAGAATCTTATACCTATATGTGTATAACTGATGCTGCCTTGGAAAAAGAGCTGATTTCAGTAAATTAGTAAATATCTTTGTCCTAAATATCAAATTTTAATTTTGTTTTTGCGGGGGGAGTAAAGGTAATTTTCTCAAAACGAAATGTTTTGCTCTAGAGCAAGAGTCAGCAGGCTTTGTCTGTAAAGGGCCAAATAGTAAATATTTTTTGGCTTTGTGGGCCATACAGTCTGTCTGGACTATGCAGCTCTCTAACATAACACATAATCAGCCATTGACAATACATAAGCAAATAGATTTGTCTGTGTTCCAGTAACACTTTATTAACAAACTACTGTTACACATATTTTACTTTGTACAACCTGGGATAATACACACATTGTATAATCCATTTTTTTCCTTTCTTTTTTTTTTTTTTTACTATAATGTGTTTTTAATTTTTTTTAGGATGCAGTAAGAGTTTTAAAAGAAGTTTCTTTTGGTACCTAAGCAGTGAAATATTTATCTTTGTTTCCAGGTATTCTATGTCATTTATGTCTAGAAGCTTCATTTCTAAGCATCAGTGCTTACTATTGATACCTGAAAACTAAATAAATTAGGTCTGATAAGGGTATTTTTCAGTATAGAATGGACATAAATTATTAAAAATGATTTAGAGCCAGATTTTGAATAGTCTATTTCCAATGTTGTTGTCTTTGGAGTTATTTAAAATTTCTTTTTAAGAAAACAGTTGGCTCCTTTGCAGATATGTAGGTATCTTCTCTCCATATTTTGTGAAAGTATAATACAATTTTTGGCATAACTTTCTCCCTACTTTGTTTTCTCTTTGATGTAATAAAGGCTCCTGACATACATGTGCGTGTGTGTGTAAATAAAAGCTCCTGATAAAATGTGCTTTTAAAGAGACTTCTCTAGAAAGAATGTGCTTTAGCCTTTTCAGGCAGCCAGAATATTAAACAAAAGGTTTAGTTGTCATGGGAGAATGAGAAGATGGAGAAACCATTTAGCACAGAATTTTCAACATCATTCTCTTATTTATCACTGACTCTTTCAGTTTTCCCTTAACTTGAAATATTGGCTGATTGAAAACTGGGGTCATTGACATCATAGGGAAATTTGAATGTTAAATCAGGAATACCTTAATTATGATTTTCTTAAAGATATCTGTTTAATTCCAGAAACTTGAAATATGAGGAATAAACCAGCTTCACACACTGTTCCAATGATCCTCCCACCCCCACCCCCACCCCCGTCTGTTCCTCTAAGAAATGCAACAAAATCTTATATAGAGTAATTTTACTATTAGGAGCACTTTTTAGTATTAGCAAATTTACTAAAAAGAGAAATTATGAGAGGTTTTGATTTTTGTTGACTTTGCTAGTGCTTATATATGACTGTAAATGTGATAGAATTCTTTGGTAAATATTGAAAGTTTACTAAGTTTATCAATATGATAATGAACTAAATATATCAATGATGCTTAACAGTCTTGGCTGTCAAGGATCAATCCATTACTTGAATGCTGTTCTTCCCATCCACTAAGTTTTAGAGTAAATGTTTAGTAGTGATAAGTTATTCAGGTTACTATAGATACAGAGATTTTTTTTACTAGTTGTCCAAGTGTGGATTTCTAGATTTCTGATACTGTTTACATTTTAATGCAAATGATGGCATTGTTATGAGGAAAACACAGAACCTTGCCAGATTCTTAGTTCCTTGTCTTAATGCTAAATCAGAGCCTTTTATTCCAAGTTTATAATTTCATTTACTCAAATAAGAATGATTTTACTTATGGTTTTTTCTTTTTCTCAGATTCATCCTCTGGATGTCTAAAAGCCTCAACTCATCAGGGTGCCATAGATGTTTATGTCAGCCAACTGGGGAAAGTGGAATTGAAATCCCTTAAAGGTTAGCCTTCTGGAATGTTTTATTTTGACATATGGTTATAAGGAAGGTTTTATGTAACACTCAGGAAACAGATGGTCAAATTATCTATACTGACATAGTAATATCAAAAAAATTTCTTCTGGGCCGGCCGGTGGCGCACTGGAGAGTGCGCCGCTTGGGAGCGTGGCGGCTTTTCCGCTGAGGGTTCGGATCCCATGTGGAGACCGGTTCCCGCTCACTGGCTGAGCACGGTGCGGGCGCAACACCGAGGGTTGCGATCCCGTTGCCAGTCCCCGGTACGGGCGCAACACCGAGAAAAAGACAAAAAGGAAAAAAAAAAATTTCTTCTGACAGAACCTGATTTAAACACTGGTCTACTAGTTCTCTAGATGAGATCTTTACAACTTTTGGGACAGATGGCCATGAAAACTATCTTTTTCTTTGTAGTACAAATAAAAATGTTGTGATATTTTGACTATTACTGTGGAATGTTTTAGTGTTACTGTGTGGGTTTTTCAGTATAGTTTTATGTCTGAAATAGAATATTCTTTGGATGGAAAATGCTCCCATACATTCTTATGGAAGCTTTCCTTCCAGCCTATGAGAGGACCTTCCTTCTCAGGCTATCACTATAGATTAATAGTTTTCAAAATGTGATCCTGAAATAAGGGTATCACCAGGAAAGTCCTCTAAAGTGAATGTTGACTTAGTCTCTTGAAGTGTCAAGACTTAGGATGTGTCTCTGTCTATAATTTAACTTCTAATACAAATAACTTTCTAAGAGTTCAAGTCTTTCATTAAAAATGGTGTACTTTTGATGCATCTTAAAGCTAAATAAGAGTTTGCATGTGCTTGTGCACACGTGCATGCAGATGTGTATGGTGACAGTTGGCTTGGGTGGAGTACCTTGGCCATAGGGGCTGAAGTGGCCTGAGTGCAGGAAGTTAAGGACTGTAACTCTGTATAAAAAAATTAGAAAATAAAGTCTAGAAGCTCTTGCATATTGGCCAGAAGAGGACTATATGTATAATAAGGAAAGTATTTCTTTACAGAGACTGGTTGTTCCTGCTGTTAGTAATTTCTTTGCCATGTTGATTTAGTAGTTTTTCATGTAGGTAGGCTCTCTTGTCAGTGTCGAAAGTAAAACAACAAAACATAGAAGTCTGGAACTGAAGTTATTGCTGACACAACTGTGATTTCTCAAGATCACATTTTTTCTTTAAAACAGGATAATATTGTATCCTCACTAGATTTCTAAGGGCTCCAATTCAGGTTAAATTGTAAATTCCATATCAGTCATTTAGTTGCACTCTCTTATTACAAAGGCCCAAGGAGAAAAAACGTAAATCATTAATGTAACTACAGAGTTAAAGTTTTGAAGATAAGCAGCTCTTACATGAAAGTTATTTCCCATGTGGTGGGCAAAAAAGTAAAGAAAACAAAAAACTTAAAAATTTTTGAAGATTGTTAATCTTCATCCACTTAAAATATTTTTGAGTATTATTTGGATTGTTGTTCCAGCGACCTACTGAAATAGCATATGGTGTTGCAAAATTTGATTAGAATTACAATTTTGTGTTTTTTCCTACTGGGACCATAGTACTGCAGAATCTTAAAGATAACTGGACAAAAAGATTTCTGTCTTACTTAAAATCTCTTAATTCTCACTACATTTCAGAATAATAACTTTTTAGAGTAATGGAAAGTTATTCAAGACTGTTGTTTAATGATTAGTAAAGATGTCTGGAGTCCATTCCAACTTTGCCACTGTCTTGCTATAGGGTTCAGAGCCAGCCACTTGAGTCTCTTAGTACTTTACCATTGTGCCATATGAAAAAAAAAAATGTACAATGCTTGTTTTCTCTCTCCTTATGAAAGTTAATCTGGTGACCTTATTTCATTCAGATAATCTATGCTTAGACTTGGGAGTCATACCTGCCTCTGAGCACTGACTTTTCCACTTAATATTTCTAAAATCACTTAAAATCACTAATGTTAACATATTTTGATGTCACTAAATGATGTCTTTAGTATTAGTTCATTTTTGAATTTTTAGGAGGACAGTATTGATGTCAAGAATTATGAAGACTTTATGAGAAAAGAGGTTGAAGGTATAACAAGAGCTCTTCTTTCTAAAACAATAATAGTGTCAAAGATGGGACTTTAGGAAAGTTTTCAAAGTTTCATGAGAATTCTCCATTCACAGGCAGTGGTAGAGTTTTGTTAGTGGTGATTTTTGTTTTTTAAAGATGTGGAGGGAGATGGGGATAGAACCATTTGCGTTGCTTAATATTTTTAAAGGTCTCACAGATTTAAGACCATGTTATTCATTTAAGAACAGACAAAAGTGCTCATAAAATTATCACACTTGATACATTCAGAGATATAAAGTCCTAGAAAAAAATTTTTTTAATCCATGATTTTCTACTTTTAAAATTATGTTTGGTAGAAGAACATATATCTTCTATTCATTTTGACATTTTCTAGGTGTGTTTTTGTTTTATTTTGTTTTCTCATAAATCCCTTTATCTGTTATTATGGGGACTCTCCTGTCAGTAGTTTACATTTGAACTCTGGAAAACAATTAGTTTTTTAATAAAATAAACTATCTGTAGTGATGTGTTTTGTTCCCCACTTTTTTTGAGGAGTAAATATGAGAGTTTATCAGTCTTACCCCAAATTTCCAGCTGCAGTTAGGAAGATGGAGAAGATATGAAATTACCTAAGGAAACTTGAGCTGATGTTAACCAGACAAGAACGAAAACCATGACCCATAAGTAGATGCATTCTAAAAGGAATTTACAGTATTCACAGTGGATGACATTTTGAAGATCTTAGTACACAGAGATGGAGTCAATGCTTTATGGCAGGGGCCTCTTACCTACTTTATTTGATGAGAAATACTCATGGAGAAAGAAAAACTTCTGAAATAGGAGTGTATTGGTGAATTTCCATTGCAACCCATGTAATTGTTTTGAAAAATCGTGTCATAGCAAACACAGTATTTTCTTCTGATTTACTCTTTTACAAGCTTATATTACCACCACATTGTACTGGAAATAAAATTGAGTATCTTGCCTCAGGATACCTTGAGGAAACTTGACCACATAGGAAAAGGCACTGCTATTTAAATAAATATGCTGAAGAGTAAAAACAGTGTACTAGGAGCAATGCTCCCCTTTCAATCAAATTTGTAACAGACTGGCACTTTTGATTTCTTTGCATTAATAAGCTCTCCTTTAAATTTATTACAGGCTCTGTTATTGTCAAAGTCCCGTCTTCTCTTCAAGCTCATTTACAGTTATCAGGGAAAGCGGTTGATGTTGACTCAGAAGTTCATATTCAGGAAATGGCTAAAGCTCATAAAGATCATGGTATAACAATTACTGGTAAGGAGGCTGCAATTGGTATGTCACATGAATAGCCATTGTTGCTATGTAAGTAGTTTTAGTCTTTTAATTCTTTTCCATTGACACATTTTAGTGTTTGACAATTTTTTCTACAAATTGCTTAAGTAACACGATGCAGACATTTTGTTTGAAAAAACCTCATTAAATCATTTAGGAATACTCGTTAGTCTTATCATTGGATAAAATTGATTTAAAAAAACTTCTGGAGCAGTTCAAAAGCAGTTCAAAGCTAATTTTGTATGAATAGAGTAAAAAGGCATATGGTTTGATAAGGACACTGTAAACTTGTTCTTTTAGTACAACAAATTCCCAATCACGCAAATGTGAATAGCTTTTTCTTTTTTTAATTGAAACATACATATTTGTGGGGTACAGAGTTGAATATAAATACCTGTATACAACATGTGATGATCAAATAAGGATAATTAGTATATTTATTTTTATAAAACATAATCATTCTTTATGACCCTTAACTAATTTCTTGCTATGCCTCCTCCCTCTCCATTTCCCACTTCTAGTAGCCACAACTTTCTTTTTGCCTTTTGAAAGTTCAGCATATTACTATGATTGTTGTTTGTTTCTTTCTTTTTTACTAATTTTTTTTTTAGCTGCAACTTATGAGTGACAACATGTGCTATTTTTCGTTCTAGGCCTGGCTTATTTCACTTAACATAATTTTCTCCAAGCTCATCCAAGTTGCTGTGAATGGCAGAATTTCATTCTTTTTTATGGCTGATTATTATTCCATTGTGTATATATACCACATTTTCCTTATCTAGTTGTCTGTTGATGAACATTTAGGTTGGTTCCATATCTTGGCTACACACACATACACACACACACACACACACACACACATATCTTGAAGAGCTGCAATAAACATGGGAATGCAGGTATGCCTTTGACATGGTGATTTCCATTCCTTTAGGTATATACCCATTATTGGGATTGCTGGATCAGACAACAGTTCAATCTGTAGTTGTTTAGGAACCTCCATATTCTTTTCTATAATGGCTGTCATAATTTACAGTCTCACCAGCAGTGTAGAAGGGTTCCCCTTTCTCTGCATCCTCACCAGCGTTTGTTATTTGCTTTTTGATAATATCCAGTCTAAGTGGGGTGAGATGATATCTCAGTATGGTTTTGATCTGCATTTCCCTGATGATTAGTGATGTTAAGCATTTTTTCAGATATCTGTTTGCCTTCAGATATCTGAACATCTTCAAGATATGCCTATTCAACTCTTTTGCCCATTTTTTAATTGAGTTACTTGTTTTTCTACTGTTAAGTTGTTTGAGTTCCTTCTGTATTCTGAACATTAATTCCTTGTTGAACGTAGAGTTTGCACATATTTTCACCCATTCTTTAGCTTGTCTTTTCACTCTATTGATTGTTTCCTTTGCTCTGCAGAGGCTTTTTAGTTTCACATAATCCCATTTATTTTTTTTCTTCTTGCCTGTGCTTTTGAGGTCTTATTCATAAAATTTGCCCAGTATACATCCTGAAGTGTTTCCCCTATGTTTTCCTTTAGGAGTTTTATAGTTTCAGGTCTTATTTTTAAGTCTTTAATCCATTTTGAGTTTATTTTGGTATATGGCAAGAGATATGGGTCTAGTTTCATTCTTCTACGTATGGATATCCAGTTTTCCCAGCACCATTTATTGAAGAGGCTGTTCTTTCCCCAATATATGTTCTTGGTGCTTTTGTTGAAGATCAGTTGACTGTAAGCACATGGATTAATTTCTGGGCTCTCTATTCTGTTCTAGTGCTCTTTGTGTCTGTTTTTATACCAGTACCATACTGTTTTGTTTACTATAGCTTTGTGGTATAATTTGAAGTCAGATAGTGTGATGCCTCCAACTTTTTTTTTTTTTTTTAATCAGGATTTCTTTGGCTATTCAGGGTTGTATTAGTCCGTTTCTGTTGCTTATAACAAAATAACTGGAACTGTGTAATTTGTAAGAAAACAAAATTTATTGCTCACAGTTTCAGAGGCTGGGAAGTCCAAAAGCCAGGGAACACATCTGGTGAGGGTCTTCCTTGGTGGTGTCTTCAGTGACACAGGGAATCACATTGCAAGATGGCAGAGTCAGAGAGAAAGAGTAACCTCCTCATTTACTCTCCTTTTAAGGTCACCATAACCACCCTCAGTATTCCAAGAATGGATCAATCCATTCATGAGGGTACAGGCCTCACAATCTAATCACCTCTTTAAGGCTCACTTCTCAATTACTGTAATAGGATTTCCTACCCTCAACAGTCACAGTGGGGATCAAGCTTCTTTTTTTTTTTTTTCCTTTTTTGTCTTTTTTACTGACCGGTAACGGGATCGCAACCCTCGGTGTCGCACCTGTACCGGGGACCGGCAACGGGATCGCAACCCTCAGTATTGCGCCCGCACCACGCTCAGCCAGTGAGCGGGAACCAGTCTCCACATGGGATCCGAACCCTCAGCGGGAGCGCCGCCACGCTCCCAAGCGGCGCACTCTCCAGTGCGCCACCGGGCCGGTCCGGGATCAAGCTTCTAATACAATAAAACTTGGGGGACACAATTCATTCTATATCGGGGGTCTTTTGTTGTTCCATATGAATGTTAGGATTGTTTTGTCTATTTCTGTGAAGAATATCATTGGTATTTTGATGGGGATTACATTGAATCTGTAGATGGCTTTGGGTAGTATGGACATTTTCACAACATTAATTCTTCCAATCCATGAGCATGGAATGTCTTTCCATTTTTGTGTCCTCTTTAATTTCTTTCAGCAGTGATTTATAGTTCTTATTGTAGAGATCTTCCACCTCCTTGATTAAATTTAGTCCTAGATTTTTTTTTTTTTTTTTTTTTTTTTGGTAGCTATTATAAATGGGATTGCTTTCTTGATTTTCTGCTAGTTCATTGTTGGACTATAAAAATGATAGTGATTTTTGTATATTGATTTTGTATCCTGCAGCTTTACTGAATTTGTTTATCAACTCTAAGGGTTTTTTGGTAGAGTCTTCAGGTTTTTTTACATATAGGATCATGTCATCTGCAAAGAGGGACAATTTGACTGTCTTTTCCAATTTGGATGCCCTTTTTTTCTTTCTCTCACCTGATTGCTCTGGCTAGTACTTACAATATTGTGTTAAATAGAAATGGTGAGAGTGGGCATCCTTGTCATATTCCTGTTCTTAAAGGAAAAGCTTTCAGCTTTTCCCCATGCAGGATGATATTGGTGGTGGGTTTGTCATAAATGGCTTTTATAGGGTTGAGATACTCGCCTTCTATACCTAATTTGTTGAGAGTCCTTATCATGAAAGGATGTTGAATTTTGTCAGATGCTTTTTCTGTGTCTATATTGAGATAATCATATGGTTTTTGTCCTTAATTTTGTTGATATGGTATATCACATTTATTGATTGGTGTATGTTGAACCATCTTTGCATGTCTAGGATGAATCCCCCTTGACCATGATGTGCAATCTTTTTGATGTGCTGGTGCATTCTGTTTGCTAATATTTTGTTGAGGATTTTTGCAAATGCGTTCATCACGATTTTGGCCTGTGGTTTTCTTTTGTTGTTGTGTCTTTGTCTGATTTTGGTATCAGGGTGATACTGGTCTCAAAGAATGAATTTGGGAGAAAGGCCTCTGTTTCAATTTTTTGGAATAGTTTGAAGAGAATTGGTATTAAATCCTCTTTAAAGGTCTGGTAGAATTCAGCAGTAAAGCCATCCATTCCTGGGCTTATCTTTGTTGGGAGATTGCTGATTAGTGCTTCAATCTCATTCCTTGTTATTGGTCTGCTCAGGTTTTCTATTTCTTCTTGGTTTAGTCTTGGTAGTTTGTATGTGTCCAGAAATTTATCCATCAGTAAAGCCATCCATTCCTGGGCTTATCTTTGTTGGGAGATTGCTGATTAGTGCTTCAATCTCATTCCTTGTTATTGGTCTGCTCAGGTTTTCTATTTCTTCTTGGTTTAGTCTTGGTAGTTTGTATGTGTCCAGAAATTTATCCATTTCCTTCAGGTTTTCAAATTGGTTGGCATATGGTTGTTTATAACAGTCTCTAATGATTCTTTGTATTTCTGTGGTATCTGTTGCAGTGTCTCCTTTTTCATTTCTATTTTTGTTATTTGGGTCTTCTCTCTGCTTTTTTTAGTCAGACTCATGGTTTGTCTATTTCATTTATCTTTTCAAAAAAAACCCAACTTTCTGTTTCATTGATGTTTTATATCATTGTTTTGGTCTCTATTTCATTTATTTCTGCTCTGATCTTAATTCTTTCCATCTGTTGATTTGGGGATTAGAATGTTCTTGTTTTTCTAGTTCTTTAAGGTGTATCGTTAGGTTGTTTGTTTGAAATCTTTCTATTTTTTGGTTGTAACCATTTATTGCAATAAACCTCCCTCTTAGTACTGCTGGTGCAGTATCCCACAGGTTTTGGTATGATGTGTCTTTATTATCACTAGTTTCAAGAAATTTTTTGATTTTCTGTTTAATTTCTTCTTGGACCCATAGGTCGTTCAGGCATATGTTGTTTAATATCCACATATTTATATAGTTTCCAAAGTTTCACTTGTTTATTGATTTCTGGTTTTAATTCATTCTAGTCTGAAAAGATACTGGAAATTATTTCAGTTTTTTAAAATTTGTTGAGATGTGATTTGTGACCTAACATGTGGTCTATCCTGGAGAATGTTCCACGTGCTGATGAGAAGAAAGTATATTCTGTAGTTGTTGGATGAAATGTTCTGTAGATGTCTGCCAAATCCAATTGGTATAAAGTGTAGTTTAAGTCCTGTATTTCTCTGTTGATTTGTTGCCTAGCTGATCTGTCCACTGTTGAGACAGGGTATTCAGGTCTCCAGGTATTATTGTGTTGTGGTCTCTCTCTCTCTCTCTTTAGGTCTAATAGTGTTTGCTTTATATATCTGGGTGCTCTGATGTTGGGTGTGTTTATATTTATGATATTATGTCTCCTTACTGGATAGATCCCTTTA